TCAGTAGCCGGCGGCCTCCCCGTGCTTCCTGGGGTCCGAGGCGGCCTCCACGCAGGCGCCGTCCCGGAACACGGCCTGCACCGCGTTCAGGAAGAACTGCCTCCTGGCCGGCTGCTGGCCCCGGCCCGCCAGGTCCTGCCGCACTTCCTGCGGGAGAGAGGGGCCCCGGGGAGGGCGCTCAGGCCCGTCTCCATGGCGACCGGGCCCAGGCAGGACCCGAGAACCCACCGAGGGGCTGGGAAGGGGTGAGGACGGGAGGGGCCTGGGGGAGGCCTCCCCTTTGGGGCATGGCGTCTGCCCTTCCCGCGCCAAAGGCCCCGGAGGAGGAGGACGTGGTGGGGCCACCCCGGGGTGGAGGGCACTCGGGGCCGGGGTTCATGTCCGGCCTGAGCCCGAGGACAGTGACCCCCAGGCCACAGGCACCCGTGGTCCCCGAGGGGGGGCTGCTCAGAGCACCAGGCCCCAAAGGCTCCGGCCTGCGGTGCTGAGTCTGTGGATCTGGGGGAGCTGAGGGTCTGGGGGAGCTGAGGGTCTGGGGGAGCTGAGGGTCTGGGGAAGCCGAGGGTCTGGGGGAGCCGAGGGTCTGGTCTGGGGGAGCTGAGGGTCTGGGGGAGCTGAGGGTCTGGGGGAGCTGAGGGTCTGGTCTGGGGGAGCTGAGGGTCTGGTCTGGGGGAGCTGAGGGTCTGGGGGAGCCGAGGGTCTGGGGGAGCCGAGGGTCTGGGGGAGCTGAGGGTCTGGGAGAGCTGAGGGTCTGGGGGAGCTGAGGGTCTGGTCTGGGGGAGCCGAGGGTCTGGGGGAGCTGGATTCCAGGCTGTCATCTCTGAATCCTCAGAGAATTGAGCTCACAGAGTAACCACAACTCAAGGTCAAGGTGAAGGCCTAGGAGCAGTGGATGGAGGAGAGGCTCGGGGAGCACTCCATGTACTTCCACCGGGAGGACCGTGCGCAGGGAGGGAAGGCCTGGCTCCGAGTCTGAGCCTGATTGGCCGAGGCCCTCAGCTCTGGGCCCACAGACGGGAGTTCTCAGGGCTGACAGGCCCCTTGGGCTCCAGGCCCCCTCCCTCTGGTTGCGGGAGAGGCCCAGGTCACGCGATCTCGAACCCCAGCCAGCTGACCTGCCCCGGGGCCTGCAGCCTGCAGCCCTGAGAGCTGCCCGGGTTTTGAATTAGGTCCTGCAAAGGGCGTCTGCCAGCCCAGAGAAGCTTCCAGAAAGCCGGCCCTCTCTGGGGCGGGCGGGCAGGGAGAGGGGCTGGGCCGGAGGAGAATTCGGCTCCAGGACCTGCTCAGCAGGGGGTCGGCCTCACCTGCGGGAAGCCGGGCTCGAACTCCACCTGGCCCCTGTCGTTCACGTGCAGGATGGGGGCCGCGATGGCTGCGCCCAGGTCCAGGCCGAGCCACAGCTTGTTCACGATGACCTGGGGGGGCAGGGAGGCGGTCACGGGGGGCGGGCACCAGCCCCCCACCCCTCCCTGCCCCCAGGGGAGCAGGAACCCTGGGCTGTCCGGGGTGTGTGTGGGGGGGACCCCAGCTCACCTGCACCCCCAGCCTCACCTGCACCCCCAGCCTCACCTATACCCCCAGCCTCACTTATACCTCCAGCCTCACCTGCACCCCAGCTCACCTGCACCCCCAGCCTCACCTGCACCCCCAGCTCACCTGCACCCCCAGCCTCACCTATACCCCCAGCCTCACCTATACCCCCAGCCTCACCTGCACCCCCGACCTCACCTGCACCCCCGGCTTCATCTGTACCCCCAGCCTCACCTGCGCCCCCAGCCTCACCTGTGCCCCCGACCTCACCTGCAGCCCCAGCCTCACCCTCAACTGCACCCCCAGCCTCACCCTCACCTGCACCCCCAGCTCACCTGCACCCCCAGCTCACCTGCACCCCCAGCTCACCTGCACCCCCAGCTCACCTGCAGCCCCAGCCTCACCTGCACCCCCAGCTCACCTGCACCCCCAGCTCACCTGCAGCCCCAGCCTCACCTGCACCCCCAGCTCACCTGTACCCCCAGCTCACCTGCAGCCCCAGCCTCACCTGCACCCCCAGCTCACCTGCAGCCCCAGCCTCACCTGCACCCCCAGCTCACCTGCAGCCCCAGCCTCACCTGCACCCCCAGCTCACCTGCAGCCCCAGCCTCACCTGCACCCCCGGCCTCACCTGCACCCCCAGCTCACCTGCAGCCCCAGCCTCACCTATACCCCCAGCCTCACCTGCACCCCCGGCCTCACCTGCACCCCCAGCTCACCTGCACCCCCAGCTCACCTGCAGCCCCAGCTCACCTGCACCCCCAGCTCACCTGCAGCCCCAGCTCACCTGCACCCCCAGCTCACCTGCACCCCCAGCTCACCTGCACCCCCAGCTCACCTGCACCCCCGGCCTCACCTGCACCCCCAGCTCACCTGCACCCCCGGCCTCACCTGCACCCCCAGCTCACCTGCACCCCCGGCTCACCTGCACCCCCGGCCTCACCTGCACCCCCAGCTCACCTGCACCCCCGGCCTCACCTGCACCCCCAGCTCACCTGCACCCCCAGCTCACCTGCACCCCCAGCTCACCTGCACCCCCAGCTCACCTGCACCCCCGGCCTCACCTGCACCCCCAGCTCACCTGCACCCCCAGCTCACCTGCACCCCCGGCCTCACCTGCACCCCCAGCTCACCTGCACCCCCAGCTCACCTGCACCACCGCGGAGATGATGAGCTCCCCGCCGGCCCCGCCGACCACCAGTGTGGACCCCTGGGCCGCGTTGACCAGGATGGAGGGGACCATGGAGGAGGGGGGCCGCTCCCCTGGAACTGGAGGCCCGTGGGCGTCACCGGCGGCCGGGCTTCCCAGCCGGGGCGCACACACCGCCCCCTCCCTCCCGGTCCTCTCACCGCCGCACACTGTGGCCGGGAGAGGCGGGGTCCCCGTGCAGCGCCCTCTCCCCAGTCCCCCCCCACTCACCGGGTGGAGGGGGTCCCTTGGCGCCCGGCCTGCGCCTCCAGCACAGGTCCAGCAGCTCATTGTTGAGGAGGATGCCCGTCCGGGGGGAGTACACCATCGCCCCGAAGCTGCGGGGGGAGGGGCGGCTCAGGGGCAGGCTCCCTCTGCCTGGAGGCCCCTCCCCAGCAGTCCGGGCCCCTCATTTTATTATTATCTCTAAAGATATTTGTATTGTTTTCAGAGAGAGGGAGGGAGAGGGCGAGAGGGCTAGAATCATCCGTGATGGAGAGAATCATGGACTGGCTGCTCCTGCACGCCCCCTGCTGGTGGGGATGGAGCCCGCAACCCAGGCAGGTGTCCTGATGGGGAATCGAACCGTGACCTCCTGGGTCACAGGTCAACGCTCCACCCCTGAGCCACGGGCCGGGCCAGGAGCCACTCGCTTTGGTGGCTCCCTCCCCCCTGCATGGGATGCCGGACCTGCTGCCTTCTCCCTGGCACTGCCCCCAGGTCCCCCTGAGCCCCATCAGGGTGTCCTGGAAGGCCCATCCCGGGTGGTCCTGGCTCGGGGCCCCCCATCAGCAGAGATGTCAGGGTGCAGGACCCCTTTGGACAGAGAAGAAGGAGAAATGGGGAAAGCAAGGTGAGGAGGGGCTGGGGCTGGGAGATCAGGCAGAGGGTGGGGTGGGTGGGGTGGGTGGGGTGGGCTGGGGCTGGGAGATCAGGCAGAGGGTGGGTGGGTGGGGTGGGTGGGGTGGGCTGGGGCTGGGAGATCAGGCAGAGGGTGGGGTGGGTGGGGTGGGGGAGGCTCAGGTCTGGGGGGCACAGAGGGGGGGCCTGCCCGCCTGCCCCCGGGGACGCACGGCGTGTTGATGGTGCTGGTGGCGGCCACGGCGCTGCCGTCGGCCCCCAGCACGGACACGTGGGCGGTGCCCGTCCTGTGGCCCCAGGGCCCGGCCAGGCCGTAGTGGCTGGGCGGGTGGTCGCCGCGGGCGTCGATCTGCTGGCGGATGTGCTTGGCCAGGGCCTCCCCCAGCAGGTCCAGGGAGGCGTTCTGGGGGGACGGCCGGTGGGGGGGTGAGTGAGCGCCCCCTGCAGCCTGTGCTCCCCGAGCCCCTGCACCCGCCCACCGCCCGCCCGCCTGGCCCTCTGAGGCTCGGCGCTGCCACTGCCTCGGCCAGGCCTCCACACGGCCCGCGCCTGCGCCAGGACCAGCCGTGCGCCACCCTCGCCCGGGCTCCAGGGTCCCCAGGGCGCGCCCGCGGGCCCAGCCCTCCCGCCGGCTGAGCCCGGCCGCGGCCGCTCACCTGGACCGCGGGGTGGCTCCGCGGGTCCCACAGCCGCCACCGCTGCCCCCCCGCAAACTTGAAGGCCTCCACCAGGTGGTGGCACAAGGCCACGCGGCCCTCGGGCGTGGCCACCGCCTCCGCGGAGAAGTTGAACCCTGTGTGGGCGCGGGCACTGAGCACACCCGCCAGGGCCAGAGCACACGCCTCCCCCCGACTCCCACGGCCCCGGCGGAGGAGGGGGCTGCGCTGGGAACGGCCATGTCCGCCCAGGCCACGTCCGCCCCAGGCCACGTCCGCCCCAGGCCACGGATCCCCAGGCCACAGCCGCCCCAGGCCACGGCCGCCCCAGGCCACGGCCGCCCCAGGCCACGGCCGCCCCAGGCCACGGATCCCCAGGCCACAGCCGCCCCAGGCCACGGCCACCCCAGGCCTCGGCCGCCCCAGGCCACGGATCCCCAGGCCACAGCCGCCCCAGGCCACGGCCACCCCAGGCCACGGATCCCCAGGCCACAGCCGCCCCAGGCCACAGCCGCCCCAGGCCACGGCTGCCTCAGGCCACGGCCGCCCCAGGCCACGGATCCCCAGGCCATGGCCGCCCCAGGCCACAGCCACCCCAGGCCACGGCTGCCTCAGGCCACAGCCGCCCCAGGCCACAGCCGCCCCAGGCCACTGCTGGGCGTGGGGTTCCGGTGCCCAGCAGGACAGGACCCTGAGCGGAGGCCGGGGCTCGCACCTTTGAGCACGTTGAGGATGAGGCTGAGAATTGCGCCCCCCGCGGGCGGCGGCGGGGAGTACAGGGTGTAGTTCCCCAGGGGCACGGCCAGGGCGGCCACCACCTCGGGCTGGAAGGAGGCCAGGTCCTGCATGGTCAGCTGGCTGCCTGCAGAGACAGAGACCAGGACCGAGGGGGGGTTGGCAGTGACCTCAGCGCGGGCCCCAGAGCCGGGGGGGGGGGGAGGGCTGGACGGGGCTGGAGGCAGGCAGGTAGGGGGAGGGCGGGGAGGGAAGGGAAGGTGGGGGGGAAGAGCTGGCCTCGGGGACACTGTGGTGGCCGCCCCAGGCCCGGGAGCCCGCATGGCCCCAGCGACTCCCCTCTGTTGGCCTAACCCCCCGGGGCCTGCTCCTTGAGGCCACAGCGGCCGGCAGGGGCAGAACGGGGCACACAGCCTCTCCCCGCCCCGGGAGCCGCTGGCACTTCCTCAGGCCTGGGGAAGACCCTGCCTCCACGCCCCGTGTCTAGCCCTGGCCAGTGTGGCTCAGTGGATAGAGCATCAGCCTGTGGACGGAAGGGTCCCGGGTTCGATTCTGCTCAAGGGCACATGCCTGGGTTGCAGGCTCCATCGCCAGGGAAGATCTCTCTCTCTCTCTCTCTCTCTCTCTCTCTCTCTCTCTCTCTCTCTCTCCCTCTCCCTTCCTCTCTGAAATCATTAAAAGTATTTTTTTTTTTTAAATAAAGAGTAACAGCAAAGACCCGTGTGGAGGCCCGGCCGGCGGCGGCTCACCTTCCCGGGCGATGTCCTCCAGCAGCGTCCGGCCCAGCCGCCCCGAATACAAGGCCTCGGCGCCCTCCCGGGCCACCGTCTCCAGCGTGGCGGCCAGCGCGGGCCAGGGGAACGGGTCCTCGGGCCCCAGGGGCTCCGTGCCGTTGAAGAGGAGCTGCCTGGGGGTGGGGGGGCGGCCTCAGGGGGACCCGGCTCCGGGCAGCCTCACCCGGCAGGGGCTGTCAGGGTCCTCCCCGGGGTCCTCAGGGGCCGGGCGGCCACCGAGGGGACAGGGCGCCCCCTCTCCCATCGCTCATCACCCTGTCAGGCCTGGGTCCCCCCCGTGTCCTCGCTGCTCCTGGGGGACCTGCTCAGGAGGGGCAGGTGGGCACGGGGCGGCCCGAGCAGGAAGGGGGCAGAGCCAGGTGCCCTGGGGGCCCCATCCCTGGGCACCAACCCTCTGGCCTGAGCCCCTCCCATCAGGTCCAACCCCATGGGAACCCGGGCATGGCAGGGCCGGCCAGGCGGGTCAGAGCCGGGCCTGACCCCGGAGCCGAGGGGCCCGCCCCCGCCCCCGCCCCGGGCGCAGCGCTCACCGCAGGGAGGAGCCCTGGAGCACCGGGCGCAGCAGGCGGTGCCGCAGGAACTGGCTGAGCACGGGCGGCGTGCGGCGGCCGCGGCGGAGCAGCGCGATGGTGGGCTGGAGCAGCCGCGCCCAGGGCAGCCGGCCGTGCCGGCGGTGCGCCTCGGCATAGCCCCGCAGCTCCCCGGGCACGCCGGCCCACTGCGCGCCTGCGGGGGCCGTCAGCTGCCACGCTGCCCCCTCCCCGCAGCCCCCGCCTCCAGCCCCCCCCCCCCCAGCGTCTCCATCCCCGCCGCCCCCTTGGCCTGGCGCTGCCGGCAGCGGTGACCTTCCTGAGCCCTCACCGACCCTGCCCTGCCACACCCCCTGCGGCTGCCACGCCACGAGGCCCAGCACACAGCGGCCCTGGGGATGGGTGGCCCCCACCCGACCCTGCCCCTCCACCTATCCCCTCTCCCCACTTCATTCCCTCCTCCCACAATCCTCCCAACCCCAGCAGGAAGGGCAGGGCCTCCCTGGGGCTCCCCGCGGGGTCCCCAGTGCCGGGGGTCTCAGCCCAGCGGCCTCTCCCCCCCCCAGGCCTCACCTCTGCCCAGAGGCAGCGCCTGCTCGCACTGGTCCAGCAGCCCCGGGGCGTGGCGGGCGGGCACCGTCTCCCTGGCATTGATGACCTCCACCTGTCCTGGGGGTGGGGGCGGGAGGGGTGAGGCCCGGGCGGCCTGGGCCGCAGCCTGGCCCCCGTGGCCCCCGCGCCCGCGCCCTGCCCTCGCCGTGGCCGCCGCGGGGGTGGGATCCGGGCGGGGGGCGGGGCGAGAGGACAGACAGGACACCCCCTCGGGGGGCTGCGCAGAAGCACCTGGGACCCAGGGATGCTTCCTGCCCTCAGGGCCTGGGCTCGGCGGTGGGTCCCCCCACCCTGCCCCCCAGCAGGCTCTGCACCCGGAAGGCGCGGGGACGCACCGGTGCTGGCGTTGTAGACGGTGAGGATGACGCCACCGCCCAGGCCCATGCTCTGCGGGTGGACGGCGCCCGTGCAGACCAGCGCGGCGATGGCGGCGTCCACGGGCGAGCCCCCCTGCTGCAGGATGGCCCTGCAAGGCGGGCGGGCGGGCGGGCGCCGTGAGGCTGGCTCCCTGCGCCCCCCCCCCACTCCCCTCACCCCCCCCCTCGCTCAGCTGGCAACCCCGGGGGGGGGAGTGGTGGCTTGCAGGGGCCCCTTGGCCACCAAACTGTCAGAGCCCAGACCGGCCGCCCCGTCCAGGTCCCCGCCCCCCAGAGCGGCACAGGGCTCCCAGAGGGCGGCTGTGAGCTGTGGACAAGGTGCTGGTCCGGTCCCAGCGTCCTCCTGTCCCATCCTTCCCCCCACGCCCAGCTGCCCCGGGGGAGCCAGGCCTGGGCCAGCACCCTGTCCCGCTCGGCAGCCCCAGGGCCCGGTCTGGGTAACCGCCATCGCCTACATCACAGGCGGGAGGGGGGGAGGGGGCGGGAAGACACTGAGCTCCACCCCCTGTGAGGCTGGACTATCCAGTGACCCAGGACCCTCTGCCATCAGGGCTGGGGGCCGGGCTGGGGGCCCACCGCCCCCAGGGCCTCGGGGTCTGGGAGTGCTCTGGCCTGCCTCCCCATCAGTCCGTGGGCCCTGCCGGACAGGCCTGTGGGGGGGGGGGACCCTGGCCCCGGGCACAGCCCTGCACTGCTGACCCCCAGGAGGCCTCCCGGCTGGGGTGGCTCAGTGGTTGAGCAGGACCCAGGAACCAGGAGGTCATGGTTTGATTCCTGGTCAGGGAACACGCCCGGGTTGTGGGCTCCAGCTCCTGTGGCACGCCGGCAAGGCCAAGGGTGGACCTGACGGGGGGGGGGGGAAGGGTGTGTGTGTGAAGGATCGAGGAGAGACAGACAAGAGGAGGAAAGCTGGGTCTGGGCCAGACGCTGCTTCTCTGATGGAGAGACAGCGACCACGCCTGCAAGCCCAGTCTTTTTTATTTATTTTTTATTACTTTTAAACATATATTTTATTGATTTTTTACAGAGAGGAAGGGAGAGGGATAGAGAGTTAGAAACAACAACGAGAGAGAAACATTGATCAGCTGCCTCCTGAACAACCCCCACTGGGGATGTGCCCACAACCAAGGTACACCCTTGACCGGAATCGAACCCGGGACCTTTCAGTCCGCAGGCCGACGCTCTATCCGCTGAGCCACACCGGTTTCAGCCCAGTCTTTATTTTATAGCCGATGCCACGAGGCAAAGTAAGGCCAAGATGTTAAGCAATGTTCTAATCCAGTGGTCGGCGAACTCATTGGTCCACAGAGCCAAACACCAACAGGACGACGATGGACATTTCTCTGGAGAGCCAGATTTTTAAAACTTAAACTTCTTCTAAGGCCACGTCTTCAACATAGACCCGCCCAGGCCGTGGTCTTTTGTGGAAGGGCCACACGCAAGGGGCCAAAGAGCTGCGTGTGGCTCGTGAGCCGCAGTTTGCCGACCACTGTTCTAATCTGCTCCATTACACGCACCCGAACCCTATCAAGCCCACATCTCTCAGGCACCTGGGGCCACAGGCGCAGGCTCACAGCCACAGCTGTCGCTATCGCGGTGCCGGGAGGCTCTGCCCCCCACGCGGGGACCTGCCGGGGCCGTGAGGACGGTGCCCTCCCGTCAGTCCGAGGCTCGGACCCGTCCACACGCTGTAGCCGCTCCCCACCATCCCCAGTAAGGGGGTTATTTAAAAAAAAAAAATAAGTTTTTATTAATTTCAGAGAGAAAGGGAACGGGAGAGAGTGATAGAAACATTGATAGAATCACTGATGGGCTGCCTCCCGCCTGCCCCCTCTCCTGGGGGTCAAGCCCGCCCCCCGGGCCTGTGCCCCGACCGGAAAGTGAACCGGGTGCTGACTCCGGCCTCCCAGGAGGTGCAGCCGGAGGTTCCTCGCTGACTGTGCCCTGCCTGGCCGCCCGCAGGAGCTACGGCGTGGTCTGCAGGCGGCTGGGCTAGTGCCAGGCCTGGGCACACTGCGGCTGGATGCTGCTTGTTTGAGACGGCGGTGGGCAAACTCATCAGCCACAGAGCCAAATAGCAACTGTTCAACAATTGACATTTTTTTTGAGAGCCGAGAACCGACTCTGCGCATGGGCCACGAAGTTTCAATTGCACTGGACATGCACACCCGCACGTGGAATTTTGTGGAAGAGCCACACTCCAGGGGCCAAAGAGCCGCACGCGGCTGGGAGCCGCGGTTTGCTGACGGGTTTAGGAGATGCTCGCACGCCTGTGCGGGGAGAACGGGAGGGAGGGAGAGGTGCAGGCACTCCCGCCGGGAGGGAGAGCACACTCACGCACACGTTTCTCTTTTTATTATTTTTATTTTATTATTATTATTTTTTTAATGTTATTGATTATGGTGTCACATAATTGTCCTTATCCCCCCATTCCCACCCCAAACCCCTCCCTACATATGTCCCCACCCCCCTGTTCTCCATGGCCACTGGCTAGGCTCATATGCATGCACACAAGTCCTTTGTTGATCTCTTCCCTTCAAGCACACGTTTCTAACATGCCTGTCCCCAGGGCACCGGGAGGCTGCCACCCGGCGTCCCCTCCCGCCTGCACACTCACACACACACACACACACACACACGTGTGTTCACACACGTGGTACGCCGTGACCAGACCGTGGCTTCCTGAGCCCCAGCGGGAGGAAATGCAATAGTTTTCTGGAAACTTGGCCGCGGGTACAGAGGGCCACTGGGGTCAGGGCCGCTGGGGCCAGGGGGTGTCAGAGAGAGGAGGATGGGGTGGAACCCCCCCTAATTCCCTAGGAGCCTTCCCGTCAGGGGGTCCCCCGTGTGGACCCTGGGCCCTCACTCCAGGCTCTGAGATCTGACCCATGTCCAGTCCCAGGGACTGTAACCGCCGGGCAGCCCCGCCTCCGGGCCCCCTGAGGGAAGGGCTGACACCAGCCCATTTTGCAGATGGGAACACTGAGGCCCATGTCTGGAGTCCCGGCGCTCCTCTGCACCGAGAACGGAGCACGCAGGCCCCGGCTGGGTCTGGAGCAGCAGACAAGGCTCAGGGCCGTCCTCCTCCAACCCCACGCCCCGGGCCAGCCCAGACCCCTATGCCCCCGAGGGTGAGCCCCCCCCCCCCGGGCCCCACCAGCCTCCTCTGCAACCACGCACTTGACCAGTGAAGCTCTGGCCTTTGGGGGCCGAGCCTGGAGGCCGGGCAGACACTGGGGCTTGGGGCGGGAGGCAGAGGCGGGTGGGGGGTGGGGGGACTCCACCCTCCAGCAGCCCCGGGGTTTCTCCCCCCCAGACAGAGCGGCCCCCCTGTGAGGCCCAGCTTCCCCCTCAGTGAAGCGCAGCCACGCGTCCCCCTGGATCCGGGAGGATTGGGGGACCCCCCCCCCCCCCGGCAGAGGATGGGCCGAGGCAGGCCTTTTGGAGCGGCCACAGCAGACAGACTCCCAGCCTGTGCCCCCCCAGCCCTGGGCTCACCCCCCTGCCTCCCCTCGTCGCCTCAGGGCCCCCCGTGTGCACAGCCCGGCCCTGGGGCCTGAGGCAGCGGCTCCGTGCAGCTGGGGATTGGAGCCAATGGGCTGGCTGGGGCCAATGAGGAGTGATTATTGCTAATTGAAGGAAAACAAGACCCAGCTGCGGCTGCAGCTGCGTGGCTCAGGGGCTGAGCATCGACTTAGGAGCCAGAAGGTCAGGGTTCGGTTCCCGGTCAGACACAGGCCACGGCTGCAGGCTCCATCCCCAGTGGGGGGCGTGCAGGAGGCAGCCGGTCCATGATCCTCTCTCATCACGGATGTTTCTCTCTCTCCCTCTCCCTTCCTCTCTGAAGTCAATAAAAACGTATTTACACACACACACACACACACACACACACACACACACACCAAGGAGGCAGTCCGAGGAGAGGCCTCAGGGCCCGGTGGATCTACGGTGTGACCGCAGGCCCATGTGTCCCCTTGAGGACCCCCCCCACCTGAGGATGGAGCCGCAACCCAGGCAGCCAGAGCCCCCCCCCCGCCCCCCTTCCCTCCCTCTACCCCCCGGGCTCTGGCTGCCTCCGAAGGCCCAGCCCGCGGGGAGCCTGGTGCGGGGAGGCTAGGAGGGGGGGTTTGGGAGGCCCTGCTGGTGAGGGAGGGGGAGAGGGGCGAGGAGTCGTGTGTGCCCCCCCACCCCCTCCGGCCTCCGACAGGAAGTGGAAAGTGCTATCGGTCAAGCACACACACTGGAGGCACCACATCCGCCGACTCTAAGGTCAGAGACCCCGGCCCGGACCCCACGGGCACGGCGGGCGGCAGACAAGACGGGGGTGGGGAGCAGGCCCAGGCCCCTCGGGGAGGGGGGTCCCCATCGGGGGTCTCTGCGGCCTGACCCCGGGGGCCTGTGTCTGGAGCTGAGGGCTCAGGTCGGGGTGGCACCTGGCAGGTTCTCCCGAGCAGGATGGGGCTCCCCCCTCCCTCCCCCGGGGCCCCCCAAGGACCCCGAGTGCCTGAGCTTCCCTCGGCCCCTGCCCTCCCGTTAGGAGCCCTGGGGGAGGGCCAGCTGGAGCGGGTGGGACCGGGACAGACGGACAGACAGGGGAGGGAGGAAAGACGAGGTGAGCGAATGGAGCCGAGGGGTGAGGCTGGGCCCTTGGCTGCCTGGGGAGGGGGAGCAGGGGGACCCCCCTCGGGGTGGGACGTGCCCACACCCCCCTGCCTGCGCCAGTCCCTCCCGGGGTCCACACAGCCTCAGCTGACCTCACGCTGACGGGGCCCAGGGGGCAGATGTTCCGGGAAGGGGTGGGGGACAGGAGGGCGTCCCGCCAGGTCCCGCCCCCTGGATGCGGGGGTGCAGGGCGGGACTTCCTGGAAGAGGGTCACAAACACCAGCTGGGGTCCCTCTCCCCGGCCCCCCCAAAACACCACCCCTCCCATGGCTGGCCCGGCCCCGGGCCCTGACCCCGGGGGGAAAAAACACAGAGGGAGCCCCCCTCCCTCCCACCCTCCCTCCCCACAGCGGGGAGAACGGGCCAGACCAGGGCCCGGGGGGCACTGCCTCCTCTGGGCCCCCCGAGCCCGGGGACTCGGAATCACCCACAGACCGTCCCCTCCTGCCCACAGCGGCCCTGTCCCCACCGCCCCATCATCCGCACCAGCCTGCTGCCCGCTCTGTGCACGGCCGGAGCCCCCCCACGGCCCCCACCCGCCCCGCGCGACGCAGGCACCTGCCGCAGGCCCTCCCCGTGCTCACCGTCCGATGTCCGAGCAGACCTTGGAGTCGGCGGCCACCGCGGCGCGGGCGAAGGCGTGGGGCCCGCAGGGGGCGTGCTGGCGGGACAGGACCACGGCGGCCGGCACGATGATGGCCAGGGCCAGCCCCAGCCCCAGCAGCGCCAGCCCCACGGCGGCCCCCGGGCCCCGGGCCATGGCTCTGCGGCCCCGGGGCGGAGGAGGGAGGCAGGGGGGCACACAGGCCAGTGGACGGACAGGCAGACAGACGCACAGACAGCTGCGTGGCTGGACGGACAGGCGGCCGGACAGCTAGCGAGAGGGCTGGTCGGACAGACTGCGGACGGAGGCAGGGTGACAGCGGACAGACAGGCAGGCGGGTGGCCGGCGGGCAGCTGAGAACAGGTGGGTGTGTGGACAGACAGACGGCAGCCAGCGGGCGCGTGGCGGCCGGGCCCCTGCCTTCCGGGGGCTCTGCGAGCGGAGGCTGCTCCCGGGAGCCGGAGCCGGAGCCGGAGCCGGAGCCGGAGCCGGAGCCGGAGCGGGGCCCTGGCCGGCGGCCCGGGGGCAGGGTGCTCTGGGAGTTTGCTTTCCCGAGAAGGAAGCTGTGGTTAACCCCCTCCCTGCCGCTCCCACAGGGCCCGCCCGCCGCCCGCCCGCCCTTGCAGCCTGGCGCCTCCCGTCTGCCCACGGTGCCATCCCGTGCGCCTGAGGACATGGCCTCTGGCTGGGACCCCCACCCCCTCTGGCCACCCTGGTCCCAGCAGAGCCCAGACACGGGGCTCTGAGAGGAAGGGGACAGCCTCCTGGTGTGGGCACTGCCCGCCACGGCCCCCCGGCACCCCAGAGGCAGAGGCATGGGGCGTCCGGGGCACAGCGGCGAGGCTGAAGGGGGGCCAGAGACACACAGAGGGGTGGCCCAAGACCGCCTCACTCGGACCAGGGTTCAAGTCTGGCTCAGCCACAGCCTGGCGGGAAGACGGGGTGCAGACAGAGAGGGGAGGCGCCCGGTGGGGCGTGCACATGGCATGTGCCAGCCCTTGGCACAGTGCCCGCCAGACGGCCCAGCCTGGGGCGGCAGCCCACGTCCCTCTGCCTCCCTGCCCGGGTCACCCTGTGCCAGCGGCGCCTCCTCTGCCCGGGCTTCAGGGCACCCCTGGGGAGGCGGCTGGAGGAGGAAGCGCCCACAGAGGTGCCGCCTGGACCGGGCTCGGCAGGGCACAGGGAGCCGGGCCGCGGACTGGACGCCCATCGACTCAGCCCCCACTGTCCCTGCAGGCCCCCCCCTCCCGTCTCCTCACACCTCCGGGCCAGCGAGAAGCTGGGGCGCAGAGAGGGGCTGTACGAGCCGCACGCTGGCCGGCCGGGCCCAGAGCCCCCATCACCCCGGCCCTTTCCCACCGCCCGTTCCCCGCGGCCGCCGCCCCTCACCACAGCACATTGCTCAACCGGGACCCACATGGCCTCCTGGGCCGGGGCCAGGCCCCACGGGGCGGGGATGGTTGTGTGTGTGTGGGGGGGGGGGGGGATGGAGCCGGCAGGGTCACGGAGCTTCTGCAGACACAACACCGGCTCCTGTGGACACTTTTTTTTTTTAATTAGATATATTTTATTGATTTTTCACAGAGAGGAAGAGAGAGGGATAGAGAGTTAGAAACATCGATGAGAGAGAATCAATGACCAGCTGCCCCTTGCACATCTCCTACCGGGGATGTGCCCGCAACCAAGGTCCATGCCCTTGAGCGGAATCGAACCCGGGACCCTTCAGTCCGCAGGCCGACGCTCTATCCACTGAGCCACACCATGTGTTTTTCTTAATATATTTTTATTGATTTCAAAGAGGAAGGGAGAGGGTGGGGAAGATACAAACATCAACCAAGAGAGAGAATCACGGACCAGCTGCCTCCTGCACGCCCCCCACTGGGGATCGAGTCCACAACCTGGGAATTGAATCCTGACCTCCTGGTTCTCAGGTGGACGCTCAGCCCCTGAGCCAGGCGGCCGGCCCTGTGGCCTCCGCTGGCCCCTGTGCCCTGCCCTCCGAGGCCCCGCGTGTGCCCACTGGCCGGGCGTGACCTGACGGTCGGGCCATGACCCCCTCTGCCCGCTCCACCTCTGCACCTTTCCTAGCCCCTCACTTAAGTTATTGCAACTGCGTGTGAAGGCCGAGTGGGCAGCCGGCCGGCGTGGCTCAGGGGCTGAGCATCGACCTGTGAACCAGGAGGTCCTGGTTCGATTCCCGGTCAGGGCACAGGCCTGGGTTGTGGGCTTGATCCCCAGTGGGGGGCGTGCAGGAGGCAGCTGGTCCATGATGCTCTCTCATCATGGATGTTTCTCTCTCCCTCTCCCTTCCCATTAAAAAAAATATAAAAAAAAGGACGGGTTAGCAGACCCTGAGTGAGGGGGAGAGGGGGTTGTGTCCCCAGACACGCACCCGCCAGCCCTGACCGCGGGGATCTGGGGCCTCTGTAGTCTGATTCCTGGGAGCCGGGTTCCCGGAGCTTCATGGGGGAGGCAGGGGTGGTGCTTGGAAGGCATTCCCCTGGGGCCTGCTCGGAACGCCGGGTTTTGCTCCAGCCTCTGGCCCAATCCCACTCCTGGGGCCCCAGCTTCCCCTCTGGGTGAGGTCCGCAGGGTGGGTCCGACCCCCGCCAGGCCAGCAGGTGCCCAGGTTCCTTCCCAGCCTCCTGGGCTGCTGCTGCCCAAGTGAAAGCCGGGGCTATGGCGCCCCCTGGTGTCCAACCGTGGAAGTGCCTCTGCCCCGTCCAGGGAAGGGAGGGCCTGGCCCCTGGTGCCGGGGCTGAGGGTGAGGAAGGACAGGGCTGGGCAGGGGCCTGTCCTGCACCCCTTTCCACCACCCCCCAGGGCTCTCCCCTCCCCCAGACGCCCCGTGTCACACAGGATGCTGGGCCCAGGGAGTGGGGAGCCGGCAGCACCTGGCGCCGGGGCCCCGTTTATTGCACTGCTCTGTCCCCGCAGGAGACCTCCGGCCCCCTGGCCCAGCCCGGCTGGTCCCCCCGGCCCTGCCCGCCGCCCGCTCAGTAGCCCGCCGGCTCCCCGCCCTTCCTGGAGTCCGAGGCGGCCGCCCAGCCAGCATCCGTGCGGGCGATGGCCTGCACCACAGCGATGAAGGTGGACACCTCCTGGGTGTGGTGGTGCCGGCTCTGCAGGCCCGCGGTCACCGCCTGCGGGCGGGGGAGGGGAGAGGGGCCTCAGCGGGGCCCGGGGCGCCCGCCCTCGGAGCCAAACCCCGGGGTCATGGGCCCCACAGCCCCGGGTGCTGGCCTTTCTGGCCGCGGGGCCAGGAGGAGCCAGCTGGGGGCCGCGGGCCTCCGGGGTCACCGCGGGGCACGTGGCCCGGCCCTCGCTCACTGCACTGGGGCTCCCGGGGCCCAGGCAGCCCTGGCCGGGGTGGCTCAGCGGGTAGCGCGCCGGCCTGAGTACTGAAGGGTCCTGTGTTTGATCCCGGCCGGGGCACAGGCCCGGGTGGCTGGCTCCATCCCCAGTGGGGAGCGTGCAGGAGGCAGCCGGCCCATGATTCTCTCTCTTTCTCTCTCTCTTTCTCCCTCCTCTCCGGTCAGTAAAAGTGAGTAAATAAATGAGTGAAGGATGGCCCGGCGGAGGGTGTGAGGCCCCGCCTGCCCGCCCGCCCGCCCGCCCGCCGTGCCCGCGCACCGGGTCCATGCCGCGCTCCAGCGTGGTGGTGTTGGGCAGCAGCTGGTTGTGCAGCCGGGGCTCCTCCACTGCCCTCTTCACGTCGTAGCCGAACCATAGGTTGTAGATGATGGCCTGGGGGGCAGCACGGTGTGGGGGGGTCAGCATGGCCGGGGGGTCAGCATGGCTGGGGGGCAGGGGGCAGCTTGGCTGGGGCGACGGGGTCAGCATGGCCGGGGGGACGGGGGCAGGGGGCAGCATGGCCGGGGGGCGGGCAGCACGGCCCGGGGACTGGGACCGGGGCGGCCGGGGGCAGGGGGCAGCATGGCCAGGGGGACGGGGTCAGCATGGCTTGGGGGGGGGGCAGCACGGCCCGGGGACTGGGACTGGGGCGGCCGGGGGCAGGGGGCAGCATGGCCAGGGGGACGGGACCAGGCGGGCACGCACCAGCGCGGTGGCCGTGGTGATCTGTGTGCCCCCAGAGGCGCCCACCACCAGGCTGACGCGGCCGTCCGGGTCCACCACTATGGCGGGGCACATGGAGGAGAGCGGCTGCTTCCCTGGGCGGCGGGCGGGGGACAGATGCAGGTCAGCGGCCGCCGGCCGGACGCCCCCCCCGCCTCCCCCGCCCGCCGAGCCCCCACGCACCGGGCTGGATGAAGTTGGCGGGCGAGGGGGGCACCCCGAACTGGTTGGTGATGTTGGGGGAGCTGAAGTCGTCCATCTCATCGTTGAACAGGATCCCGCTGACCGGGGACAGCACCTTGGACCCGAAGCTGCGGGGGGGGGGGGGGGCTGTCAGACTGCGGGCCCGCCCGGCCCCCCCAAAACCTCTGTGTCCCCCCGCGAGGCCCGAGGTGAGGCTCCACCAGGGGCCTCCGTTTCCCAGCACAACAGGGGCCATGGAGCCCCCCCCGGCCGCTGGGCAGCCCCCCTCCGCATCCCCCCGGCCGCCCCCTCTGCACCCCTGGCCGCCCCCCCCCCTGGCCTCCCGGCCCTGGCCACCCCCCCACCCCCCCGGCCGCCCCCTCTGCACCCCCGGCCGGGCCCCCCTCCACCAGGCTGCGCCCCCAGCCCCCTCGGCCGCCCCCTCTGCACCCCCCCGGCCGGGCTGTCCCCAATGCACCCCCGGCCGCCCCCCCCGGCCCCCCGGCCCTGGCCGCCCCCCCGCCCCCCGGCCGCCCCCCCCCCGCGGGCCGCCTACTAGAGGTTGATGGTGCTGGTGGCGGCCACGGCGCTGCCGTCCTCGGCCACCACGGACAGGTGGGCGGTGCCGCCGTCGTCCGGGCTGTAGAAGTCAGGCTGGTAGTAGGCGGCCGGCTGGGTGCTGCGGTCGGAGATGCGGCCGCGCAGCTGGGCCGCGAAGAGCTCGGAGCTCATGTTCCTGACCACCTGCCGGGACCGGGGCCTGAGGGGCGGGGCCCGACCGCCACCCCCACCCGGCCCCGCCGGGCCGCTCCGAATGCCTGCCTGCTGCCTGCCTGCCTGCCTGTCTGCTCCCCAAGCCCCCCCGGCCACCGTCATTCATTCGTTCGTGGAGCTGGCCCTGGGGGTCAGCAGGGAACAGCCAAGCAGGTCCCCACCCACAGGCAGGGGAGGCAGGGCGGTGCGGGGAGAAGGGGCAGGTCCCCACCCACAGGCAGGGGAGGCAGGGCGGTGCCGGTGCCGGGGAGAAGGGGCAGGGGAAGGTGGCGGAGGAGGATGGGGAGGGCGGGGTGGTCAGGGAGGGCTTCTCGGAGGAGGTGACGTCTGAAAGGAACCCTGCTCCCCTCCCCTCACACAAACCACGCCAGACCCTCCACGCCGAGGGCCTGGAGGTGGGAGAGGGGAGGCCGGGGGGGGCACTTGCTGTCTGTTACACTCTGAGCTCCGAGGGGCCCAGGCCCCATGCCAGTCACTGCCCCCTCCCCTCCCAGTTGCTGAGAGCGGATTCATCCACCAGGGATCCGTGCAGCAGGCGGGCGGCTCAGGCAGACCCCCCTCACCTCGGTCACGTCCACAAACTTGGGGTCCCCGAGCAGCGTCCTCTTGGCGAAGGCGAAGCGGAAGGCCTCCACGATGCGGTGGTAGGTCAGGCCCTTCTGCTCGGGCGTCGCCACGCTCGCCGGCGAGAAGTTGTACCCTAGGGGGGGGGCGGGCAGCGCCGGGCGGGCGTTGGAGGCCTCGGGGGCCCTCGGACACCCCGTTCAGCCGAGGCCGCCGGGCGCTGGGGTGCACACACACCCCCTGAGCCACCGGGGGACCCCAGCAGCCGGCCGGGGTGGCTCAGGGGCTGAGCGTGGACCTAGGAACCAGGTCAGGGTTCGATTCCCGGTCAAGGGCACAGGCCTGGGTTGCGGGCTCCATCCCCAGTAGGGGGTGTGCAGGAGGCAGCAGATCCATGACACACACACTCTCTCTCTCTCTCTCTCTCTCTCTCTCCTCTCTCCTTTCCTCTCTGAAATCAGTAAAAAAAAAAATTAAATATATATATATATATATATATATATATATATATATATATATATATATATATTTAAAATTACCAGGCCCCGCCGGGTTTGGTGCAGTGGTTAGTGTCGGCCTGCAGGCCGAGGGCCCCGGGTTCAGTTCTGGCCCCGGGCCCCCGCCTCGGTTTCCGGTTGCCCCCTGCCGGGCCCCGGCCCGGCTCACTCACCCTTGAGAATGTTGAGGATGAGGGCCAGCACGGGCCCGCTGAGGGGGGCGCTGGGCACGTAGAGCCGCCGGTCCCCCAGGCGGATGCTCAGCGGCTGCTCGATCAGCTCCGCCCGGTAGTCGTTCAGGTCCTGGGCGGTCAGGATGCCCCCTGCGGGGAGACGCAGCTCCAGCGGGGGACACGGAGCGGGCTGTGCGGGGCCCCTCCACATGCCCCCCCCCGCCCCTGTGGCCTCTGGGGGAAGTAAAGCCGCCTCCACAGGCCTCAGCCAGTTCCCGCACCAGGAAAACTCTTGCTCTCTCTGCCTGTCACCTGCCATCTCCCCGGAGCTCGGGCACCACCTCCTCCAGGGAGGCCTCCGGGCCTGCACTCCCGCGCCTCCTCGGCCCCGGCTCGCGCCCCCACCCTCCGGGGGCCTGCGGGGGGAGCTCTCCCTCCTGAGCCGCTCCATCTCTCCCCGCTCCGACCTCCCGGGAGCCGTGGCTCCACGGCCGGCCACCCTGCCCTGCCAGGAGGTCCCGAGGACCCCGACCCCTGGCCCCAGGCTCCTCCCCGCCCCGCCGGGTCCCCGGGGCCGGCACTCACCGGCCGCCTGGACGTCCCGCACGATCTGGGCGGTGAGGCTCCCGTTGTAGAAGGCGCCGGGGCCCTCGGCGGCCAGCGTGGCGTAGGTGTCGGCCAGCCGGGGCATGGCCACCGTGTCCCCCTCCCGCAGCACCCGGCCGGCCCGGCAGAACACCTCGCTGGGAGAGCGTGGGGCAGAGCGGCTCCGTGAGGCCGGGTGGGAGGCCGGACCCCCCCCCAACGCCCCCCGAATCCTCCCCACCCCCGACCCCCCACCCCACCCCGCCAGCCACACAGCACCGGGCACCAGGGCCGGGACAGCGGCTCACCCCCGTGGCCAGCCCGGCCGCCCCGTGTCCCCTGCCACTCGGGGTGCACAGGCTCAGAGGGGGTCCCCCCGCGGGATCGGCGGCCCCTCTCCTCCCGCCCCCCCGCCCCCCCGGGCCGGCCGCCCGCGGACGGACGTACCACAGGGCGGGGTCCCGCTCAATGGCGGCCCGGCTCCTCTGCAGGGCGGCCGCCAGGCCCTTGCCCACGCGGAAGCCGCGGCGGGCCAGCTGGATGCTGGGCTGGAAGAGGCGGGCCCAGGGCAGCCGGCCGTGCCGCCGGTGCGCCAGCTCGTAGCCGCGGATCTCGCCGGGGACGGCCACCGACAGCCCCCCTGCGAGGCGAGAGGGGGCAGCGCGGTCGGTCCCAGGCCAGGGGCCTGGGGGCCTCGTCCCGGCACCGGCCCAGGGGGGACCGGGAGGCTCCCACGTCCACTCCCGAGGGCCAGCTCTGAGGACGGACCTGTCCCTTGGGAAAAGGCTGAGAACCAGGAGGTCACGGGTTCGATTCCCCGTCAGGGCACAGGCCCGGGTTGCGGGCTCCGTCCCCAGTGTGGGGCGTGCAGGAGGCAGCCGGTCCATCATTCTCTCTCGTCATGGATGTTTCCGTTGCTCTCTCCCTCTCCCTTCCTCTCAGAAATCAATAAAGTTATACGGTATATATTTTTTTTTAGCCCTCACCGGTGTTGCTCAGTGGATAGAGTGTCGGCCTGCGGACTCAAGGGTCCCGGGTTCAATTCCGGTCAGGGGCATGTGCCTTGGTTGCGGGCACATCCCCAGTGAGGGGTGTGCAGGAGGCAGCTGGTCGATGTTTCTAACTCTATCTCTCTCCCTTCCTCTCTGTAAAAAATTAATAATATATATATATATATATATATATATATATATATATATATATTTTTTTTTTTTTTTTAAATTGATGTCAGAGCGAGGATGGGTGGGAGGGGGAGGAGAGAGAGAGGTTCATGGTGCGTCGGTTGATTCTTGTTCGCGTCCTGACCGGGAATCAAACTCACAGCCTCGGCCCACGGGGACGGCTCTAACCCACCGAGCTGCCTCGGTGACGACGCTCTGGCCCAGCCCTTACGGAGGGTGAGAGGGCAGGAAGGGGTGGGGGTGGGCAGGAGGGCACCAGAGCTGCCCAGGGGACGGCACCTTCCGGCCTGCGCCCGCCTCACCTGCCTGCGCCTGCTCCGGGCTGCTGAACATGCCGGCCCATGCCTTCGCCGGGGCTACCTCCCGGGCGTTGATGACCTCGGCCTTCCCTGGAGGGAGACCAGGAGGCAGCGGGCAGCTGGGACGCCGGCCCCGCCCCCTAAGGCTGTGGCACCCGCCGTCCCCCGCCCTGCCCGGGCCGCCCGAGGCGCTCACGGGTGGCGCTGTCGTAGACGGTGAGGAACAGGCCGCCGCCGATGCCCATGCTGTGGGCGTTCACGAGCCCCACGCACAGCAGCGCCGCGATGGCGGCGTCCACCGCTGAGCCTCCCTCCCGCAGCGCGTCCCTGCGGGGGGGGGGGGGGAGTGAGAGCTGGGGACCCCCACCCGCCCCTTCACCCCGAGGAGGCCTGCTGAGGAGGAGAGAAGTCAGTCTGCAGGAGTTTCCTTCCATGTAACTCTCACACTGATGGGATTATAGCTTCATCGCTTCCAAAGATTACTGTACATACCTTCTACTTTTAATTTTTAACCGCTTTATTTGTAACCGGTTTCGGCAACAAATGTACATAAGCTTTTAAAAATATATATTTTTATTGATTTCAGAGAGGAAGGGAGATATGGATAAGATAGCTCGCTAGCTAGATGATAGATAGATAGATAGATAGATAGACAGATAGATACATCAATGGAGAGAGAGAATCGTGGATCAGCTGCCTCCTACACGCCCCCCACTGGGGATGGAGCCAGCAGCCCAGGCCTGTGCCCTGACTGGGCACCAGATCGGCCACCGCCTGGTGCCTGGGATAAAGTCCAGCTAACTGAGCCACACCGGCCAGGCCACGTCACTTTTATAATTTTTTTTTTTAAAGTGTTCCTGCCGAAACCGGTTTGGCTCAATGGATAGAGCCTCGGCTTGGGGACTGAAGGGACCCGGGTTCGATTCTGGTCAAGGGCATGGACCTTGGTTGCGGGCATATCCCCAGTAGGGGGTGTGCAAGAGGCAGCTGATCGATGACTCCCATCGATGTTTCTAACTCTCTATCCCTCTCCCTTCCTCTCTGTACGAAATCAATAAAATATATATATATATAAAAAAAGTGTTCCTTTCCATTAGTAATCGTGCTTTCCGTGTGAGTCTTTCAGTGGGAACTGATCTTTGTATAAAACCTGAGGTCAGCCAAAACCGGTGTGGCTCCATGGATAGAGCGTCGGCCTTCGGACTGAAGGGTCTCAGGTTCGATTCCGGTCAAGGGCATGTACCTTGGTTGTGGGCACATCCCCAGTAGGGGGGTGTGCAAGAGGCAACTGATCGATGATTCTCTCTCATCGATGTTTCTAACTCTCTATCCCTCCCCCTTCCTCTCTGTAAAAAATCAATAATATATATATATATATTTAAAAACCCTGAGATTGGGGTAGAAAATTGTATGGAACAGCAGAGTTTATCTCAAGACAGACACCCCAGCACGAGAGGAGGCCCCTGCTGGGAGCCCCGGTCCCGCTCCAGGGTTAGTGCCCCTCCGTCCCCCCCGGGGGCTGCTGAGCAGGTCCAGGAGGAAGGCCCTCGCCCAGGCCATTCCGGCGGCCGTCCTCCCTCCCAGGCGCCCGCCCTGCCCCTCACCTCCCGATCTCCGAGCAGGGCTGGGCGTCCGCGGCCACGGCGGCCCTGGGGTACACGTGGCTGGGCGGCTGGGAGGCGGCGGGCAGCCAGAGGCTCAGGCTGATGATGACCAGGATCAGCACGATGGCCGCCAGGACCAGCACCACGTAGCGCTTCTTCATGGCTCTGCGGGCACGCGGGGGGTCAGGGGGCAGGGCCGGGACCCACCCCTCCCACCTCCGCTCGGCGTCACCACCTGGTCACAGGACACGCTCACCACCAACCCCCGGCCTGGGGAGTCTGGGGGCTCCCGGGAGGGGTCCCTGCTGGATGGAGGTGGGGTTCTTACTGGGATGGCGCCCTGTAGCTCTGCCGGGAGGATGTGGGGGGTTAGAGATGCGACAGGAGCTCCTGGCAGAGAGAACGGCCTGACCCAGCCCTCGCTGGTGTGGCTCAGTGGGTAGAGCGTCGGCCTGCGGAATGAAGGGTCCCAGGTCCGATTGCAATCAAAGGCACGTGGATTCCAGTCAAGGGCAATCTCTCATCACGGATGTTTCTCTCTCTCTCTCTCTCTCTCCCTCTCCCTTCCTCTTTGTAATCAATAAAACTAAAAATAAATAATCAGACAGCACAGCTTCTGGCCGAACTCGATGCAGCCCCTCCCACCAGCACCTCCTGCCCCGCCCTCCAAAAAGCTGTCAGCAGGCTCTCTCCCAGGTGCCAACAAGGCCCTGCCCCTGCCAGTGCCCTCAGGGGACAGCTCCTGCCTCCTGCCCGCTCCTCCTCCTCCGCCAGGCCTGACTGACAGCCTCTGGCACACCCTGGCCCTGGCAGGGAGGCTGCACGGGGTCAGGGTTCCTGTCGGCAGGGGAGCGGCTGTGCGGGGGGGTCTGCCCACCTCGGGGGCTGGGCTGGCAGCACCGGTGCGGGTTCAGGGCACAGAACTTTCCTGTCCCACGTGGCAGAGATGGGCAGGCCTGGGCAGGGCCGTGCTGGGCACCTTGGGGGCACGGCCTCCTGGCTCCTGGGCTTGGGCTCTCAGCTCAGACGCCCCTCAGGGCCTCTCTCCCCGGGAGGGCGCGCCATGACTTTGAAGGCCCACACTCCGCCTCCCCTGTCCATCATCCGTCTGTCCATCCACCCATCCCGGGGCCCCGTGGGCTCCCAAGGGGCAGGGGCAGGCAGGGAGCGTGCGGAGGGAGGGGGCACGTCCCCTCCTCCCCTCGGGACAGCGAGGTCTGGCTGGGCTCCCCCTCCCCTCCCCGCCGTCCCCACAGGCATCCAGCTTCCCCAAGGCGCCCCGCTGCGGGCCTGGCTTCCGCTTCCCACTCCCCCCCACGTCTTTCTCACGGATTCACTAACGCCCTGACCGGTGTGCTCACTGGATAGAGCCTCGGTCTACAGACTGAAGGGTCCCGGGTTCGATTCCGGTCAAGGGCATGTACTTTGGTGGTGGGCACATCCCCAGTGGGGGGTGTGCAGGAGGCAGCTGATGGATGTTTCTCTGTCATTGATGTTTCTGACTCTCTCTCCCTCTCCCTTCCTCTCTGTAAAAAAATCAATTAAAAAAATATATATATATTTGATATATTTTTAAAAAGATTCACTGGACCACGCCCAGGCCCAGACCCAAGCTCCCACTCACAGATCAGGAGGGGAAACCAAGGCCAGAGAGGTGACCGGGCCCCAAACCCCAGCCCAGCCCAGCCAGTGTGGCTCAGTGGTTGAGCATTGACTTATGAACCAGGAGGTCAGGGTTCGATTCCTGGCCTGGGTGTGGGCGCGACCCCCAGTGTAGGGAGGAGGCAGCCGATCCATGACTCTCTCTCCCTCTCCCCTCCTCTCTGACATCAATGAGATTTTAAAATAAAGTAAAATAACCCAGTCCAGCTCCTGACAATCTTGGGGGCTTACCTGAGGCCGGGGGAACCAGGGGGCACCGCGGGGCACGGGGGTCCAGGACAGCCCGGCTCCGGGGGGACAGCGCTGGGCCGGGCGGGAGAGGCAGGCGGTCTGCCTGGGAAAGGCTGGGCTCTGGCGCAGCTGCCTTCCGGCTCCCAGGGGAGGACCAAGGGGCCACGGCCACGGCCACGCCTGCCCCCCCCCCGCCCGCCAGACCGCAGTGCTGCTCAGGGGGCCTCTGAGCCCGGCCTGAGACCCGGCCGGCAGCTCCCGGGAGGAGCCGAGGCCAAGGCATTGGCGGGGCTGGCTCACCGCGTCCCAAAGGAGGCAGGAGGCTGCCCCGGAACCCGTGTCCCCGAGGGGCGGCTGCGGGTGTGGGGGCGGCTGCAGGTGAGGGGGCGGCTGCAGGTGTGGGGGCGGCTGCGGGTGTGGGGGCGGCTGCAGGTGTGGGGGCGGCTGCAGGTGTGGGGGCGGCTGCGGGTGTGGGGGCGGCTGCAGGTGCGGCTGCAGGTGTGGGGGCGGCTGCGGGTGTGGGGGCGGCTGCAGGTGTGGGGGCGGCTGCAGGTGTGGGGGCGGTTGCGGGTGTGGGGGCGGCTGCAGGTGTGGGGCGGTTGCGGCTGCAGGTGAGGGGGCGGCTGCAGGTGTGGGGGCGGCTGCAGGTGAGGGGGCGGCTGCAGGTGTGGGGGCGGCTGCAGGTGAGGGGGCGGCTGCAGGTGTGGGGGCGGCTGCAGGTGAGGGGGCGGCTGCAGGTGCGGCTGCAGGTGTGGGGGCGGCTGCAGGTGTGGGGGCGGCTGCGGGTGAGGGGGCGGCTGCAGGTGTGGGGGCGGCTGCAGGTGCGGCTGCAGGTGTGGGGGCGGCTGCGGGTGAGGGGGCGGCTGCGGGTGTGGGGGCGGCTGCAGGTGTGGGGGCGGCTGCAGGTGCGGCTGCAGGTGTGGGGGCGGCTGCGGGTGAGGGGGCGGCTGCGGGTGTGGGGGCGGCTGCGGGTGTGGGGGCGGCTGCAGGTGCGGCTGCAGGTGTGGGGGCGGCTGCGGGTGAGGGGGCGGCTGCGGGTGAGGGGGCGGCTGCAGGTGTGGGGGCGGCTGCAGGTGTGGGGGCGGCTGCGGGTGTGGGGGCGGCTGCAGGTGCGGCTGCAGGTGTGGGGGCGGCTGCGGGTGTGGGGGCGGCTGCAGGTGTGGGGGCGGCTGCGGGTGTGGGGGCGGCTGCGGGTGTGGGGCGGCTGCAGGTGTGGGGGCGGCTGCAGGTGCGGCTGCAGGTGTGGGGGCGGCTGCGGGTGAGGGGGCGGCTGCAGGTGTGGGGGCGGCTGCAGGTGTGGGGGCGGCTGCGGGTGAGGGGGCGGCTGCAGGTGTGGGGGCGGCTGCAGGTGTGGGGGCGGCTGCGGGTGTGGGGGCGGCTGCAGGTGCGGCTGCAGGTGTGGGGGCGGCTGCGGGTGTGGGGGCGGCTGCAGGTGTGGGGGCGGCTGCGGGTGTGGGGGCGGCTGCGGGTGTGGGGCGGCTGCAGGTGTGGGGACGGGCGGAGGCTGGCACGGGGGCAGGAGGGTTGTGGTGACTCGGCCTGTCCCGGGTGACTGCAGTTCAGAGGCCCGGGAGGTGACAGCAGGGACTCAGGGGAGGCGTGGTGGCAGGAGCCGGTGGAGGTGTGACCCCCACGGGGAAGGACAGGGGTGGGGACAGAGGCAGGGGGTCCTCCCGATGGGCAGTCCACCAGAGCCCCCTGAGGGAGGCCCAGGCGGGTCCCCCTGGCCAGCCCTGGCTCTGGGCAGAGGATCTGACCTCCAGGGTCAGGGTCACACCTGGCGCCTCAGAGCGGGTCGCAGGGCGGTGCTCCTCGCCTCCCCACAACCCACAGCCCCAGCCAGATGCCCAGGGGCCACGGCCTGGGGCTGGCCGGTGTGGCTCAGCGGTTGAGCATCCACCTAGGAACCAGGAGGTCAGAGTTCGATTCCCCGTAGGACACAGGCCCGGGTTGCAGGCTCCATCCCCAAGAGGCAGTGTGGGGCGTGCAGGAGGCAGCCGATCCATGGTCCTCTCTTATCCTTGATGTTTCTCTCTCTCTCTCTCTCTCTCCCTCTCCTTTCCTCTCCGACATCAATAAAAATATTTTTTCATACAAACTTGGCCTGGGGCCCCGGCTCAGGCCCAGTCCCCCCACCTCTCTGGGAGTGTGCTCACCTTGGCCCCAGGAACCACCTGCGCAGCCTGGAAAGGCCTGGCTCCCAGAGGCCGGAGCTGGTCCAAGGTCACCGAGCCCAGCAGGGCAGGCCCGGCCACCCCCACCTGCCCCGAGGTGCCGAGTGTCCCTGCCCAGCCCCCCCAGAAGGCCCGAAGTCAGGAGCCTGGGACTTTGGACCCGACTCCCCATCCCCCAGGCCCTTATCTGATCAGGACGAGGACTAGGATAAGGATCAGCCACTTCCTAGGCCGCAGCTCCCTGGCTCCCTGGCTCCTGGCTCCTGGCTCCCTGGCCAGGTGTCTAGACGGCCTGAGAGCTGCCAGAGGCCCCGTCTCTAAAGCGAATCCACAGCCGCCCTGCAGGTTTGTGAGGGCCGCCTGCCCCAGGTCACGCAGTCGTAGCGATCCTGGTCCTGGACCCACTGCCCGGGCATCGCCTACAGCTGCCAACGGGCCTGGGCATCCCCCAGCTGTGGACCTGAGGGAAGGAGCCAAGGCCCAAGGCCCAGGACCTGTGTCCGAGGGCTGGGCACAGCCAGGAACAGCTGGGCACCGGGCCTGAGTGGCAGCCTTGCAGGGCCGGGGCCTGGAAGGGTGGGCAGGGGAGAGCCACAGGGCTCCGTCCCACCTGAGCCTGCTCAGCGGTTTCCCCCTGCCCCGGGGGAGCGGGAGACACAGCCCCATCAGCGGCAGCGGGAGGCGGATAGCGAGGATGACTGAGTGGGCAGAGGAAGGCCCAGCCCCCGAGGAACCCTGGGCACAGCGAGCTGGCAGCCTCGGCCAGGGCCCGGGAGCCCGACAGGAGAAGGGGCTCAGCAAAGGCATGGCATCCAGGGTGAGCGTCCCATGCTGTGCTGCTTGGCCTCCCACCCCCTGCACGGAGAGGGGGCCAGGGGGGACCCTGAGCTGGAGGCCTCCGCCAGACCCGACGCTCCCCTCCGAGGCACTAAAGGGGTGAGCTCCCCATCTCCCAAAACGTGCAGGCCTCACCCACCCAAATCACCCAAATGTTCTTTCTCATAGGCTGTGGGGAGTTATATATAATATTGATGTCAGAGAGGAAGGGAGAGAGAGAAATAGAAACATCAGTGATGAGAGAGAATCATGGATCA